CACTGAGAGAACCACCCAAGTTACATGTACTTGCTTGGTAAATATCAAAGCCGTACAGCCAATACTGAAAGAACCAATCAAGGTACATGTACCTGCTTGGTAAATATTAAAGCCATACTGCCAATACTGAGAGAACCAACCAAGGTAAATGTACCTTCCTGGTAAATATCAAAGCAATACAGCCAGTACTGAGAGAACCACCTGCCTGAGGGATTTTTTCATGAAAATTGGATATTAACTGATACATGCAATGACCAGAAATATGAATATTTTTTTTCTGAGTCTAAAAGTTGATACATGTTTTTGAACATATCTTGCAAATGCATGAATCTGATTGGCTATCATGGTCATGAGTTATGTTGTACTCATCCAACTTAGCACCCTGAGTGCTTAGCAGTTTTAGGGGTGGGTCCTAATCGAGCACTCCCTCGAAACAGTGTGCAAATGATATTTTAGTTAGGTGTTTCCGAAAATAGAAATGTTCAAAAAGTGTGGGGTGGATGCTTAGCTGACGAGTACAGTAATAATATTTATCTGGATTTTAATTATGCAGAATACAATACCTCAGCGCTATCAATAGATGAGAGTCTTTTTCTATGACCCAGATGATTCAAAGCTGGAGTGTTTCTTGGTGATTGATAACTTGTATCTGTGTCGGAGTAATCTGTAGTCGTGTTCTCAGTATCGGTAAAATCTGGTTTGGATCGCCTTCCATACCTCTTACCATCTTTAACAAACTTGGGTTCAATACCATTGATGGCTTTCCCATTGTCTTTTGTACAACAAGACAAAGGTAATGTTATTATGTAGCTATCATTAATGGGCATTCTTGCTTTAATGGTTATGTAGAGTTACAAATAATAATGTTATTTACATAGCAGTTTGTAACTTCAAAGAGACAGTATTGTGCAATCATAATACAAGCTATATACTCCATTAAATAACTGAAATTGGTTAGGGTGTAAATGAAAGAATTTCCAATACTTACTTGTATCTGCAAGACTGCTAACCGCACTGGAATCATCATCATCCTCACTTTCAATTTCACTCCCTATAACATCTTCAACTGCATTTGATAAAACCAACACAAATCCTTCTTTGAACTCTTCAAAATCAACCTGAAAATAGACATTTATCATTATCCACATTTGCACATCAACTAAACCCAATTGTGTTAATGCATGAGAGTAAACAGCGGTTAGCATGGGCTAAGGAACATCCAAACTTATACAAATATACAAATTTCCATTTCTTTTTACTAGATTATTTCAACTACTCAGTACAGTAAATGGGAAGGTATACATGTTAGTTCTATGATTAATTCCAAAGCCAATTCAGGAAGCGCAGACTGAAGAATAACAGGAAGTAGTAATGCGTCTCATTGTCAGTTAAATCTTTCTTGAGAACATTGTGCTCAAATTGATTGTCATATTGTAAATGACATAGAGGAATGAATATACCGGTAATAGTAAATCTCCCAAATGAACATTGAATACGATAGTGTTTTGGGTGCTTAGCCTGAGCTAAAGATCTGGGCCGAGTCTTAAAAAACAAAAAACAGATTTGATCAGTACATAGCAATTCATAGCCCATGCTCAGCATTCGCACACAATTTCTTAGCACAGACTAACGTTTTTGACCTTGTACTAGTATTAGCCAGTGCTAAGCAGTGATCACAACTTATGTTCTACATGCTATAGGAAGGATTCATCTAATAACCTATGTTTATTGACAGTACCTCAACCACTGTGAGGGACTGTGTTATTGACAAATTATTTCCCTTGTATTTAAACACACTAGATATATTAATACAAGTGTAGGTCATCCCATGGCAGTTCTTGGTGACATTTAGAATGATATCGTCTGCTGATCCATATATGAACACTACCCAGAATTATGGAATAGGAACATAATCACTCCAATACATAAAAAAGACAATACATTAAAGCCATCAAACTACCGTGACATTGCCACAAGCAGCAATATAGGAAAAATCTTTGCAATGATTATAAACACCAGAATTGTTAAATATCTAGAAACTAATATTACTATACACAAAAACCAAGCTGGTTTCAGACAAAATCACCAAACTACGGACCACATTTTGACTCTGAACACTATGATTAAAAAATACCAAACCACAAAAAAGAAACTTTACAGATGCTTTGTGGACTTTAGGAAGTGTTTTAACACTGTCTGGAGAGATGGACTATTATACAAACTACAGAAATACAACATATGTGGATCGTTATACAAAGTGATAAAAGACATGTACAGAAACATTTCAATTCAAGTTAAACTAGATGGAAGATTATCACCAACTTTTGAAATAGAATATGGTGTAAAACAAGGTTGTCCATTGAGCCCAACATTTTTCAATATCTTTATCAATGACATATCAACAGAACTTGATAAAAACTCAAATGACATCCCTGATCTCAACAGCCAGCCTGTATCTACTATTATATGCAGATGACATAGTGCTCACATCAACATCCAAATCAGGACTACAAGCCAGTATTAATATGCTATAGCAATACACACAGACATGGGGACTAACAGTGAACACAGAGAAAACAAAAGTTATGATTGTCATCAAAGATGGGTGCAAACCTAAAGATACACTATTCTCCTATGGAAACATAACACTGAACAATATCAATTCACATATCTAGGAATTATCCCAAATAACTCAAATGGAACCATGACAAAGACAATGGAACATCTAACCGACAAAGCCAAAAAATAGAAAGAAGCACAGAAGATATACAACAAAACTTTTCGAGTCCTTACAGATTCCAATCCTGTTATACGGATCAGAGATATGGGGAATAAACACAAAAATTGAACAGTGGGACCGTACTTGTGTTGAAAAATACCATCTAAAATTCTGTCGTGATTTACTGAATGTCAATAACAAATGCAGCAACATTGGCAGCAGAATGGAAACTGGTTGATTACCATTGTTATCAATTATTCAGTACAGAGCAATCAACTACTATCAAAACCTGATTTACAATGGAAAAAAATCCTGGCCCACCACTGCCATTGCAACGTCCAAAAACTGATTTTTGAATACTTTCATCCCAA